CTCTGCAGCTTAGGTGCACAAGTCCCACACACTGTATTGAGAGTGCGTGAGGGGTAGAAGCAGAGGAGGTATAGACTCCATCCCAGTGAGGGTTACAGCAGCAGCAAGGGCAGTGTCTAGAGCTGCAGTGACATGACTGTAATAGCAGTACCCTGTGTCTAGCACCCAGGACTGGCTACGTAACTGGTGGGGCCCAATGTAAAATGAACACACAGGGCTTCTGGGTCAAAAATTGCTAAGAATCTTAAGATAACAGCTGACCATTAATTCAATAGCAGGCCTTCTAAATCTGGATCACAGACCACACATCCATGAAGACAGCCCTGTCAACACCAGTGAGTCAGACATGTAAATTGCAGCACTCGTGCTCAGTAGCAGTGGCAGTTGAGTGTGGCAGTTCTATGAGGTAATTTTGAGTTACTCTTGACAGTCAGGAATAACTTAAACTCCAAGTCTAATTAATTCTCAAGACATCCTTAGGAATTACATGAACTACCTGATTTCCTTTAATATTACTTTTCTGGTTAGCCAGCATTTTTTGGTGTTGCTTACAGTTAGGGCTCTGGTACTTTAATATTAAGTGAAAAGGGCAAGTTACAGTAATGTGCTTAATATATAACAAACTCTCATGTAGTGTAGTGGTTATGAGTCGGGCTGCTCACCTCAAGGACAGCAGGTTGAATCTACCAGTGGTTCTGTGAGAGACAGATGAGGGTTTCTGCCCCATAAACCCTATGCAAGGTCGCTATGAGTGAGAATAACTCCATGATTAGCCTCATTTTTCTTCCATGAAGCAGCTTGTGGGTTTGAACTGCTAATCTTGTGATTAGAAGTCCAATGCTTATCCTAAAGCACCACACCATTACTCCAACATCACTATTATCAAGCTCTAAACATTTTCATCATCCCAAATAATGCGTCAGACTGCAAAGTCGTTTGAACAGCAAGGTCAGTTGTTCAAGCTCACCAGCTGCTCCTTAGAAACCCTATACAGGGTCGCTATGTCAGAATCAACTCGACAGCACTTAACAACAACAAATAATATCCTAGTACCCCTTAAGCAGTAACTCTTCATTCCTTCCTCCTCCCTACTGAAGAACTTTTGCCTATATATATTTGCCGATTGTATTTCATAAAAGTGGAATCGTATTTGTCCTTTGGAGTCTTATTTCACTTTGCATTAATATTCTTAAGATTCATCCATGCCGTATCAGGACTTCATTTCTCTTTGACTAATACTCCATTGTATGTATATCTGTATATATACACACACTACATTTTTATTCATTCATGTACTGAGGCATTTGGGTTGTTTTTACCTCTTGGCTATTGCAAATGCTGCAATGAACATTGATGTATCTCTTTGAGCCCCTGAGTTCCAGTCTTTTGGCTATATGCCAAGGAATGGAAATGCTGGGTCATATAATTCCTTACTATTTTTTGCAGAACCACTATACTGTTTTCCACAGCAGCTGTAGCATTTTGAATTCCCACCAGTAATGATTGATGGTTCCTACATCTGGATTTTCATATGGAAGCAAAATAAACTTCCATATGTTTATGCCACTTATTTTGCTTTTTTTTTTTTTTTTTTGTCACTTGTGGTCACATTTTCTTTTTCACTTTTTATTGTAAATTGAGTGGTTTATTGAACTGATTATCAGTTTTACATTCAATAAGTCATATACAGTCACATAACTTTTAACTAATTTTGCCCAAGAAGTATGAAATTGGAGAGGTTATTTGTTTCTCTGCACATCTATGTAGTTTGATTTCTCAGGATGAGAATGTATTTATTTATAATTAAAAAAAAAAAAACTACTTCTGAAATTGTGGCTAGAAGAGCTAGATTTGAAGTCTAGCTCCAATATTAACTTGTTATGATCTTGGGAAAAATCATTAAGGTTCTTAATATCTTAAATTTTAATATTTTTCAAATGACAGAAAAGAATTCAAATAGTCAAAGTAGTTGAAAACACAGACAAAAGCAATAATACATCTGACATACAGAGCTTTGCAAAATTTGAGTTGAGAAAGTTCCTTGGGTACTCCATGAAAACTAAGTGCAGCAGGCACATGAACTGATAAAATGCTGTAGATTAAACCTCTCTCCCACCCCTGAAGAGTTGCAATGCAAGTGAGGAAATCAATCATGGAAGATTTCCACAGGAAAGACACCTGCTCCTTATTTTTATTTATTTATTTTTATATAAAAAGATGATTTATTGTTTGTACCATCTTGAACCTCCAATTACCATAAACCTCTAACAATGTAAAAATTACTGGAAAATGAAAATGACTTTTTGAATTCATATTTGCTTAGATATGAGTAATAAATTGTTGTTGCTATTGTTAAATGTCATCTAATTGGTTCTGACACAAAGCAACCCTGTATAGGGTTTCTAAGGAGCGGCTGGTGGGATTGAACTTTTTAGCTAGAAGTCCAGTGCTTATCCTAAAGTTGTCACACCAGTAGTTGTGTGCTGCCAAGTCAGTTCTGACGCATAGTGATCCTGGATAGGGTTTCCAAGGCTATAAATCTTTATGGGATCAAAAAGCGTCATCTTTCTCCAGCAGAGTGACTGGCAAATTCAAACTATTGACCTCGTGGTTAGCAGCCCAGTTCATAATCCACTAGGCTACCGAGGCTCTGTGTTGTTCTTTTTTTTTTTTAATAAATGTTTTATTGTGAATTGTGTGATAGTCTACATGGCAGAACATTAGCTTTACATTCATTCTATCATCTATCATTTCATTGGCATAGTTACCATCCCCGTCCATGCATCCTCACCCAACCAAAGGGAGTACCCTGTAAGCTGCAATCCCCCACCACAGTCCTCAGCCCCTTTCCATCTCCTGATCCCCAGTACCCACCCACACCATCTCTTGAAGTCGTCTTCTCTGCCTCCATCTCAGGCCTTACGGCCTTTCTGGGTAGGATCCCGCTCTCCACTTTTCTCCATTGATGGTTCTAGGGTCCTCAGCTCCTAGACTGAAAAGTTAATCACTCCCCTCCTTGCTACAAAATGTCTACCTTTATATTTCCAACCCTCACAATCAGTCCTGATAACAATTATTTACTATTGCATCACAAGAGACCCATCTGTATTTCGTTTCATCAGCCCTTCCTGGACAGGTTGGATACTATTCACTGGAGACTCTACCTTCCTCCACGCCCTTTGCATCCAGGTTCCTTCTTGAAAGCTTGTAAACCAGTCACTTCTTACCTTTGTATCCCTCCCCCCATTTTGGGTCTGCTCCTTATTTTTAATCCAATCATATTAAATGAGAACTAGAGATTTAAGCTTTCAGGGCCTGGGCTTCCAGGGACAGTCCAGTTTGAGGGTTTGCCAGACACCTGGATTTATACACTGATTCTGCAATTTACTGGCTGGGAGAGCTTGGTCACGTTGTTACCATTGCCACTGAGTTTCTGATTCATGGCACCCCAGAGCAGAACTGCTCCACAGGGTTTTCAAGGCCCCTCTGTGTGAGTTTGTAGTCAAGGGTTTAACTGTGCCAGTCAGGGACTCCTTTGATCAAGTTGTTAGGTGTCATTGAGTTGAGACCCCCACATGACAAAGTAGAACTGCCCCACAAAACTTTCTAGGCTATAATGGTTACAGGAGCAGGCCACCAGGTCTTTCACAGAGCCACTGGGTCAGCTCAACCTCTTGCTGTTGTGCCATTGGAGTCTCATTGGTCAGATTGTTATAACTGTTAGGTGTTGTCATTTCTGACTCATACCAGCCCTGTATAGAGTTTCTGAGGTGTAGCTGATGGGTTTGAACTGCCAACCTTGCAGTTGGTTAGAACTCCAGTGTTTCCCTTACAGTTCCACACCAGGACTCCTTGGCCAGGTTGTTGTTGCTGTGTGCTATTGTGTGACACTATACAGGGTTTTCAAGAGCAGTTGGTGGGTTTGAACTGTCAACCTTGTGGTTGTTAATCCAGAGCTTATCCTATAGTGCCATATCAGGGTCCTTTGACCAGTTAGTTACCTTTATATGCTTCAGTTTTCTCCTATGTATAAAGTACTATTGTTTCCATTTTACAAGCTGTAAAAATAATGCACATTTTAATTGCTCAAAAACAAAGTTGATGATATATGATAACCAGACTTTTTAGAAAATGAAAACTCGGACAAAGGATCAAATTTGGGAATGGTTTGAGACAGGATGTTCTGACTGGAGGTATGAATCACGACTGAGTGATTGAGGCTCTAGAGTTAGGATTCAAACTGGTTCATTCCATTCTGGTTTTACTCCCTGCTGAGAATTGGCACTTCAGATATGAGTTCAAATCTAGGGATCCTGTTATTATGTAGATTCTGTTAAGCCAGTATCTTGGGTGGAAATGCATAATTTCAAAGCG